CCCCGGCCCTGGCGGCACTTACGCAGGGTGATGAGGACTGCCAGGGCAGCCCCCAGCACCAGGATCACCCCCGTGCCCACGGCCAGGACGGTGCCCAGCGTCCAGCGGGATGCGGCCAGAGGGGACCCAAGCGCCGGCGCTGCGGGAGAGAAGCCAGAGATGCCCTGAGCCGGGGCCGAGCCACCCCGGGGACCCCGGCACTGCTGGCAGAGGGCTGGGGAAGGAAGGGGATCAGCCAGCTGCCTGCTCCTGCCCTCAGCATCCCAGCAAGGCTGGGCTTACTTCGAGCGGGGCTGGGTGGGTAGCGGATCTGCAGGCTCTCGTACAGGTCCGGTCCTGCCGCGGCCATCCCTGGTGGCCGGCACGGCACGGGGAGCCGCTTCCTGACGAAGCCTTGGCGCACGCCGGCGAGGGCAACCCAAAGTGCCAGGAAGGGAAACTGGCAGCCAGGCACCCGCAGCAGCTTGTGGGTGCTGGTTCCCGCCACTGGCTGGAGCGTCACATGTGTCACCCCACCCCGAGCGGAATCGTCTGCTGACGAGTGGCACTCGACCCTGACCCTGTGGTTTTTGTCCCAAAGCACATCTCAATTGCAGTTTGCGTTTCCCACCCTCAGGCGCAGAAATCTTGGGGGAACCCCTGAATCCCGGCAGGGAACTGGCTCCCTGGTCCCGGTGAGCGGTGGCAGAGAAGGGGGGGATGCACCCAGCCCGGCGTGCCCGACGCGGTGCCGGACTCTGAGCCATCATCCTTATCTGCCAGGAGGGCAGGCAGGCTTCAAACAGGGCTGGCAGCATGCTGTTATCAACAAGGAGAAGGGCTGGTGGTGGTAGTATTATTATCATCATCATCATCATCATATTCATCACCGTTACATTGGCGATGTGTGCAGGCAGTGCTCTGCCTGGCTGGGAAGCCACGCAGAGGGCATGGGGAGGGATGCCCAGGACAGGCGCCATCCTGGCAGGATCCGTGCCATGTCAGGAGTGGGGAGCTGCCGTCTGGCACTGGGGGAAGCCGCCTGTCACAGGACCGTGCTGGGGGCTGTGACGGGCACTTGCCGGCAGCACCGTGCAGGCTGGAGATCCCTGCTGGCGGTGAACCCCAAAGCAGGGGTCTGTGCCTGCTGCCACAGGGTCTGCCTGGGGACACCCAGCTCCTCCCAGCACCGACCCTGCATGCTGTGGCGGGACACCTGGCACCACCACCAATGGAACAGACCTCGCCGGTGCCGGCACCACGCTCTCCCTAGGCCCCCAGCTGCCCATGCTCTGCTCTGGTAACACCAGGATGTGGTATTTCAGGACTTCTGGTTTTTGTTTTTTTTCCCCATTTCGTCCCAAACCACCATCGTGTTTGACACAGGCACTGGAAATATCTTCAAATGTGCAGAAACTGCTTTTCTGACAAATGGACAAATAGCTAAAAAGCCTGGAGGCACGTTTCCCCCCAGCCCCCCCTGCACCCCTCGGCATGGGCCAGTGGCCCTGCGGTGGGCAGACCTTCATCCTCCTCCTCCCCTGCTCTTCTCCTTCCCTGCTCCCCCTCCCCAGGGCATGGACCCCCCCATCTTGGCCACCAGCTGCTGCGGTGACGGTGCTGTCCCCATCCCCAGCACCCCCTGAGCTCCAGGCGAGTTGCCAGCCAGCTCAGAGCCAGCTGCCAGCACTGAATTGGAGGCAGCCCTGGGTGCACTGGGACAGTGAGGGGCCACCACTGAGGGTCCCTGCAGGCCCACACGGCACTTCTCCAAGTTCTCCACTTCACCTGCAAGCCCTCCCCTTTTAGCTGCTCCATTTAACTTCCTTTTAACGTGGGGTTTTGTTTTCCCATTTAAGACCTTTTTCTCTAGTTAAGTGTTAGCATAATGGACATTTTTTGTGGGGCTTTTGTGTTCAGAAGTCTCTTGGTTTTGGCTGCAGGGTGGGCTCTACGGCAGAGCTGGGTTTTGCTGGTTATCTCTTGAGCCACATCATAGAATCATAGAATCATTTAGGTTGGAAAAGACCTTCAAGATCATTGAGTCCAACCATCAACCATGCCCACTAAACCATGT